ACAGCATACTGACACGTTGGTGACGTCACGAGAAACATGTGCCAGTGACACGTTCAACTGTGCCAGTTTGTCATTGGCCAGTGCCAGGTCTAGATCCAGCTGCCGGATCTTGTCCAGGAGCTGGTCGCTGCCCGGTCGTCTGGTCGTGACGTCAGTTTCAGCAATCAGGTAGATGTTGTGTCCAACTAAATCTGGACCTTGAGCTGTACACATGTAGTGTCCAGCCTGCTCATCTGTAGGGTGGGCACAGTGCAGGTCCAGAAAAGAGTGACCGTTGGCTTGAATAGAACCGCTGGCAGTTAGATCTTCTGACGTCAGCAGGTGCACCTGGTGACCTAGGAACGAGTTCAAGGACGCCAGCTCCGTATAGTTGCTGGAACCTTTGGGGGCACGCGACACGATGATAGACACAAGGGCTGACATGTTGTTCTGGCTGCTGTCACTGACGTCACATCTGACAGTCAGTGACGTCAGACCCAAATCAATGATCGCAGGGTTGGCAGTAAGGTTTATTATGGTACCTGTAACAGGCAGATTAACACAAAGCGCTGTAATGTCATAATATTATATATCTGTATTATGATATTTGATAATAAAGGTATGAGAAAAACGGTATTTGAGAGATTCAAATTTGATCTTAACAACTAATAAAATATAACTCAAAATACTTTCCTACAATAGGCATGAAAAGTCTATGTAATCATACTACATTTTTGAAAAAAATCTTTTAAAAATATGACAAGCGATAAAATTATAGTTACATTTGTAAAAATTAAAGCCCTTTGGGAGCTATAGATTTTAATAATTTATATATTTCTGTATCGAATATAAGCCGTTGAAAAGCCGTTTAGAAATATTTGGTCAATTCAAATATTTTCAAAAACTGCCCGCAACCTCTCCTTGACGTCAACCAGAATAGCCAGGGAGAGTAAAACAATGAATGTCAGAACAATTGTTTTCCATGATAAAAATACAGAATAGTTATCTATCATGTGTAGTATTGTATTTATATTAAATAATATAGCATCCCGATTCACCACAACACCCTGAATCTACTAATCCAAATTAAAAATTAAAAGTGTTTGATAAATTACTATTATATTACAAATAATTATTTCTTTGATTCTTTCTAGCCTCAATGAAACTGGAAGTAATCTGGTACTTATTACACAAATGTGATAAAATATTCACATCTGACAGTCAGTGACGTCAGACCCAGATCAGTGACCGCAGGGTTGGCAGTAAGGTTTATTATGGTACCTGTAACAGGTAGATTAACATAAAAAGATGTCATATCGTAACATTAGATACCTGTATGGTATTTGATCATAAAGAAAAAGTGAGCTTTGAGGGTTTGCATACTTGGTCTTTAGAACTAATAAAATTTAGCTCAAAACACGTTTTTCAACTATAGGCTACTATTCATCAACTCAACAAGCAAAACACAGTTAATAAAAATAATCCATTTATTTAAAATTCGCTTAATTAATGAAAGTTTTAATAAAATTTTGTTTTTATTATGAAATGAATAGAAACAGCGTTCCCCTCCCCCACCAAATAGTCGTTGGCAATTTATTGATGAAATGAGATCTTATGATATGCCCTTATGTGAAAGTACAAAATGTTATTGTAATCAAGTAAAACTCAATATTTTCTGAATGAAATGAAGGAAAGATTTTAACTGCTTGGCAATAAATCCCGTATTTTCTTGACAATGTAATCGTTGACTGTTGTTCGATAAAACGTGTATTGGTGGATGGGGCAGTGTTGAGGCCTGTATTATCTATCACACGCCATAAACTATTTCTTCTCAGTGGTATGTATTCTAATGCTAAACAGTTGATTTAGGAAATAGTTAAATCCGTCGTGTAGGAGCCAGCTTTACTTCGGTTATATAGTTTAGTAAAGCATCTTGTATACCACTCTGTGTTAGCGCTCCTGAGACGGTCGATTAACCCCTGTTGTTGTGTAAACAAGGGAAGCATGGGCGTGTTGACCCTTTTAATGCTATTTGCTGTATCGATATATGACTGAGTTGATTGAGGCGGGCAGAGGTTTTCAGACATTTTGCCCCTAGGAGAGATGGACACGGTACGTCCCCTGGAGAGATGTGCATGGTACGTCCCCCGGAGAGATGGACACGGTGCGTCCCCCGGAGGGAGAGATGGGCACGGTACGTACAACGGAGAGATGGACACGGTACGTACAACGGAGAGATGGACACGGTACGTCCCCCGGAGAGATGTAAGAACACTAGAGGTAATTGATGAGGGGTGGTGGGTACTTATTATTAAAATGTCAGTTTCAAATAAATTTCTTGACAATTTAAACATTTTTCAGATTGTTGTGTAAATGGGCCAGATATCCTCCACACCATTTTCATTATTCTTTCTGCGACTTGCCGTGTTGACATGTGTAGACGCCCACAGGTTTACCCCCGCCCCCCCCCCCTCCCCCACACCTGTTCCTTCACCCTACAGAGATTAAAACTGACACAAACGTGTGATATCAAGTCGTCGTGTCTGAATCAACCAAACAGGAAGTAAAACGGAAAGGCAAATCAATTAGGATGGTTCAGGGATGATATGAAGTAGAAAACATCTCATTTCTGAGTCATCGATCAACTTTAAACAACCCCTGTGCTTGTGACTGTATGCTGAAGGTCTAAGTCTCACTGATACGTACACTGACAATAATTGACTTCAGTAGACCGTGAGGTCACATCAACACAGTTGAAGCACACCACTGTTGTCACCAAAGTCTCACAGTACATGTTTAAGTGAGGCTTTAACATCAAAACATTTCAAACACACCACTGTTGTTACCACAGTACATGTTAAGTGAGGCTTTAACATCAGCACAGTTAACACACACCACTGTTGTTACCACAGTACATGTTAAGTGAGGCTTTCACATCCACAAAAACAAGTTACAAGCTACATTGGAAATACTTCCAACAGATTAAAGGTAAAGTGCTTAATCTGAATTTTACGTTAGCGAAAACTTGCGGCGGTAATCATTTCACTCCAGAAGTGCACTAGATGCAGCTATTTGTGGGTTAACCAAGCTTTGTTTACGTTTTGGTCGGCAGCTAGGTCAAGGCCTTTATTATACACACAGGCCACGTGAGTGGGTTATTTTTATCATACGGTTCTTCTACAATATACGAGAAAACAAATACGTGGGCGTTGCTAACAGGAACATACGATATACAAAATATAGGTTTGGTTAGTGGACAGAAGTTCATATGTTATTGCAGCGACGGTTGCTAATAGGCTTAGAACAATACACATAAGTTTCTATAGTGTAACATTCATATAAGTGTTTTAACCAACGTCATGCTTATCATTAGAGTAGATGCCAACCTTAACATATTTTGGGAGATAAGCACACATATACATTCTCTTATCTTCACACACACCATTCCCCGCGCCCTTACCAATTCCCTAAACATAACATCTCATTGTCTGAATTAATCTCAAACCAAACTAAAGTTTCACCCTCCCCCTCCCCCACCCCTTCAAACCCAAATTATAATACTACGCCCAAACGTCATCCTACTTAGACGTCATGTCCAATCCAAAAACCCACCCATCGATTTGTATTTGACCCGACACTGAATTTCAGGAGTTCGAACAAACGGCTTCTTAAATTAAACACCTATTTGTAAAGTTAAAACAATGCAGAACCAAATGAACGGGATGATTATGTCGCTATTTATCACTCAATGTCTAACGCTTTATTTGAAACAGTTGATCTTTAGCCTCTTACCGATACATCAGACAGCCTGACAGTTACTACATTATAGGTGAGATTCAATAACTAGTTACCTTTTGTTATCTTGTGTGTGGTGATTAGTACTTTGTCTGGTGTCTCAGTCTAGCCCAGCTGTCGCATCGAGATTGCACGCGTTTAGTAGGTTGTTTCAAGCACAGTATACATAATTATTGCAACAATGACACTTAGACTATCATATTTTAAAGTTTTATAAAACAAAATGCAGTTTTTTCGAAACGTAACTCCGAAAGAAATTTAGAGTTGCGTTTTAAAGCATATTAATTATTTAGTTATAACGTAAAGCAGAAATAATGCATATTCTCTACCCCTTACCACTGTACAGTTTTAAAACAGTAAAGAAACAGGACACGCCACAAAACGAAGCCATTTTATAATAAACCGGGAGTGATCTCCCCTAAACTTTCTCGAATATTTTTATATAAAATAACAGGGGATGGAACTCGGGCTATAGACATGATTTTTAATCCACTTTAAATACTTAAAGTTTTAAAAATAGAATAAAATCTCGTAGACAAAAGAATTGCACACCAAGTGAACGCTAAATAAAAAAGTGCATAATACTGCGCAATATTATTGGTACTTTAAAAAGTTACATTAGTTTTTTGAGAAATCGGAAGTAGCGTAAATTACTACTTCCGGTCAACGGAAATGACTCAAAATTTAACAGATGGTAGAGAATTAGATCTTTTACTTTCATGTGAAATTTAGTTTATCTATATGAAATAGTACTCAAGTTATAGGCTTTTGAAAATTTCAAAGTAGGAAAAGTACCACTTCCTGTTATCGGAAATCGCTCAAAAGTAGATACGGATCTACGATTTTGATAAAAATACTTATATATGAAATTTCATCAACCTCGCTGTAACGGTACTCAAGTTATCGTGTTTGCACACACACAGACAGACAGACACACAGACAGACACACAGACATACGGACAAGATTGCAAAATTATGTTTTTCCGTATCAGTGAGATGTAAAACGTCGAGATTTGTAAAAATCTCGATTTTTTTTTTGCACGATTACAAGACTTTCTCTATACTTCGTATATACGAGAAAGTAAAATGCATAAAAATAACGCGTGAACCTTTTTACTTGATTGTTAACCTCTGTAATGTTTGAGTATCAAAATAAAGCGAGAGTGATCTCCCCTAAATTTTCTCGAATATATTTATATAACACTACGGGGGATTGCAACTGACATAATTTTAAATACATTTTTAATTATTTAAACTTTTAAAAATAGAATAGAATCTCGTAGAAAAAGAATTCCGCACTAAGTGAACAGCAAACAATTTGTGTATAATAGTGCGTAATATTAGTACTTTATAAATTCATATACGTTTTTTTGAAAAATCGGAAAAGTACTACTTCCTCTCAACGGAAATGCTCAAACTTTGACAGAAGGCAGAGTTTAGATCTTTTACTTTCGTCTATTTATCTGAAACAGTACACAAGGTATAGGCTTTTGAAAACCACCAAATATAATAGGTTCCACTTCCGGTTACCGGTAATTGCTGAGAAGGAAACACAGAACTACAAATTTGATATAATACTTGTATATGAAATTTAAATCAACCTAGCTGTAATGGTACTCAAGTTATCGTGTTCACATCCACACATACTCACAAACGCACACACACACATACTGACACAATTGTAAAACAGTGGTTTTTTTCGTACGATTGCAATACTTCCTCTATTATTCGTATCCGAGAAAGTAAACAATTACTAAAAGTTTATATAGTTTAAACATGTTATTTATATATCTAGTATAAAGTAACAATAAAGTACGTTAAAGTAAAACATACGTTTTGTAAGCTAAAATCAAACATACTCTCTTGTAGCTTTCTTTTTTTTTTAATAATTGATTCTAGAATAAGTAAACGATATGTAGGACTAACGCACAGTTAGCTGTAACGCTAAACGGATCTGCTACAAAGACAAGATGAGATGTTAGTCCTGACTGGTTACACTGCTGACTGCTGACCTTTTCTATCGTTATTCTAATTTGAGGAGTCGGGGAATTCACAAATAGCTTGAATACTAGCTGCGCCATTAGTAGTACTGCAGCCTGTAATGTACATAGTGTAATTATTTGTAGGATTTAGAAAAACACAGTTCTCCCCAGTATGATCCTGCGGCTGACCTGTAGACCAATTAAAAAACTGTGGTCGTTTCTGGCTGTGCCTAAATTTAAATGTTCCTGTTGGACTTTCTTTGTAAATCCCTGTGTAGATTTGTTTTAATACATATTTCGTGTTGTTTAATAGGCCCTGCACCACGCCATATTCCCTGGCGTCGTCTATTTCAACCAGGTAACCACCGTACATCTGACATAAAATCTCACCAAAGTCCACGTTCTGGTAGCCGTTTCTAGATACAGAATATGTTGTATTTCTGTCGCGGACACTTTGACTAAATAGCCAGTTCTTCCTGTAACTTTCCATTGCAATATTATAGCGCTCTATTGTTTGAACATTTGCCTGTGTTCTCTCGCTGATCGACTCCAAATCAGACATGTTTTTAAAGAAGACGGTCATCAGACTGTTTAGATCTCTGATGTCATTTTTAGCCAAGTTCAAGTCTACATCCAGTTGTTGTATCTTTTCCAACAGCTGGTCACTATCTGGTCGTCTGGTTGTCACCTGAAGGTAGTCATTTAAGTTAACATTATGTCCAACAATATCCAGACCCTGACATGCGCACACGTAGTGTCCAGCCTGCTCCTCTGTGGGATACTCCCAGTGTAGTTCTAGAAAAGAGTTACCTGTAGCTTGAATGGAGCCGTTGGCTGTAAGACGTTCAGATGCCAGGACATTGACTCGTTCACCTGTAAAGGTGATCACTGAGGCCAGGTCTGTGTAGGGGCTGGAACTGTTGGCAGAGCGCGATAAGATGATGGACAAAACTGTTGACATGTTCTGCTGGTTGCTCTGGTTGACGTCACACCTAACTGTGAGTGACGTCAGACCAAGATCGATCACCACAGGGTTAGCAGACAGGTGAACTACACCTGCTGAAAAAGGTATCGATGATTCGTATAAGCAATATTTTATAATAATTTATCTACTCATATATTTAGATTATGTTTTTATTAATAATAATCGTCACATATTTTGGATATAACAATTGATAAGCTTCCTGCTAAACTTGAAATGACTTAAAATACAAACAAAAAGAAGACGTTAAATATTATAGTTGGCTTTCAGTGCAATGGAAAAAAATCAAACTGAACTAAACGTGTTATTTAAATAACAGAAATACCTGTCAGTTGTGCTTGTAAGACAAAGAACAGACCCAGTAAAACAATGGATGCCATGTTGCAAACAGCCAGGTAAAAGCTCGTTCCTATTCAGTCGGACAGCAGTGACGATCTAACAGTATCAGTTAATGATAACAAGGTAATGTTACGATTCCAAGTACTGAATAGATAATTTAAGTTGCGATTACCAAATGTGTAAGCACACACAGTAGCGTATCTAGGACGGGTGTCAGATGTCACCGCCCCTACCTCCCACGAAAGAAAACAAATATATAAAATACAAACGATGTTTAACTATTGTCGGTTATACAGCTGGATGTAGCATTGTTTTCTCTATCGTTAGCATGTTTAGATTATGGTGTTACCTCCACCCCCATCCTAGTCGGGGTTTGTCAACTTTGCTCTTAAATGTCCATTTTAATGTTATTAACCCATATTATCCCAAGGTCTCAAATTTTTATAATTTTTTTATATGGTTTAGCTTTTGGGCACTGAATGAAGGAATGACTATGGATTTTTTTTTTAAATCCATACTTTTTTAAATATCGATTTTTTAAAAAACGTCCCATAAATGGGACGCTAGCAACGAACGGCCCCATGTACATTTATTGAAAAAAGAAATCATTTATCACGAAATATGGCTAATCCCGCAAAAATAAAGCTGTATACTGATGTTGTATTGTTAGAACAATGATTACATTGTTTAGGACAGCTAAAAATACTGATAATCATCAATTGGGTTAGCCATACCATGGTCGAAAATGCAGAAATTATGTTCAAAAGTCTAGTTTTCTTTCAATCTAGCATCCATCAAAGTGAACAACACTTGGAAATAAGTAAAGCTGTGACGAGTACATCTAATTATACACACATGATCACAAATATTGTTATTATTCATCGAAACTGTAATATAATTAAATATAAATAATTGATTTTATGGGGGGCGTACTTGAAATTTTCAGGGGTGGGGACTTAAATTTCAGGGGAAGGGTGGACATCGGTAAAAGTATGCTTTGTATATAAATTCCATTTTGTTCTGGGGGCAGAGCCCCCTCCCCTCCTCCGAAATGATGCCTGAAAGAAACTCTGCCCTCAGTGAATTTGCAAAAGATGATCCGGTCCAGTCCCAGATGTCATCCAGCCATCTTCTCTTTTAATACCATCGCCATTCCCCCCCCCCCCCCCTCACAGGCGTACATTAGGACATCAGACATCTTATTTCTAGGGCACGGATCCGTCTCTGGGGGCATGTATCGAGTGTTCATGGTACTCATCCACGTATGCACCTCACTATGCGAACGGCTCCCAATCTAACACCAGGAATCTCCTTTAAAAGTTAACAAAGTTAAACTGGTATCGGGAACGTTTGCAGGGTAATATTATTGGGGCATGACAACTGTACACAGCTAATTCACATTTCTGCTATATGTAGCTTAAGCTCTCTTATATGAAGAGAGTTAACCAACCCCCATGACTGAATCATTTCACCTAAATCGTGGCCATTGTTATTATTCTGGTTTGTTATAATTTTAATATCAAGCGCTAGTAAATTTACAGCAATACTAAATTAGTTTGTATTCAATGGTATTAAATACTTCAGTAAGTGTAATTCTGAAAACTTAAAAATAAAATGTAAGTTTTTCAATATTTGCAATTTTTTAATACAATAATATATAAGAAAATATAGGTCAAGGTCATAATTAAATATCTATAAATACTACGTAACACCCCAAAGTCAACAGTTAACAAAGTCAACAACTGTTTCACCATAAATAACCATTTAACATAAACATTTGCCTCTGTGTTTCTCGCTAGTGTCCAATAAATGTGACGTTTGTGTAACAATCTACATGGGGCCATTCGTTGCTAGCGTCCCACTTATGGGACGCTTGTTGTACACTTGATATAACGAAGTAGTAAAAAAAAATTGTTATTCTTAAATTTTTATCAGATAGAAATATGGTACTGCTACAAGTTTCAAATGTATTTTGCACTTAAAATGTTAATATTTTAGAAGATATGCATTTTCCTGTGCGCATGTTTTATTTTTTCCGCCATTTTGACAAGTCCTGCAAATCCGGCACTATAACATTTTTCTAAATTATTTTTTTTCACAAAACACACACAAATTCAATAGTCTAACCATTTTAAAATACAATGAAACATAATTTGTGTTTTAATTAGTTTTTAATAAATTTAAGCAATCTTTTTTACAAGCGTCCCATAAGTGGGACGCTAGCAGAATATGGGTTAAAAGATTATTTAGCAATTAACACTACTTTATCATATTATGACATTCCCAATTGTACAATGTCAATTTTCTAAAATATGTGTAATGATATTGATATAGGCCCTTACCTATATATATAAGTAAATAGTATTACATGTACTTAAAAGTATAAACATATTAGTAATACCTGCGGCTAGTGTATACAACATCAGGAACATATTTAGACAAAGTATTGATCTCTTTTCCAGTTGCCCCAGGTAAAAGGTAGCTTCTCGCTAGGTCGATTGCACCAAGGTTCAAACAATATCAGTTTATAAAAACAAGTTGATTTTAGTACTAGGGCACTGTATAGATTAGTAAGTTAGAAATATTACACAATTAGTGGCCTGTAGTAAGCAACAAAATTAACCATATAGAATAAGTAGACGATTTTTATCTCTCTTGCGTGATTGATCCGCTTAATATCTACGGCCTGATTTAATTTAATTAGTGTAACTGATGTTATAGCTGAAAAACTAAAGTGTTAGATTAAATTATCACGCTCACGTCAGTGATTAAATATAAATAATACACAATCAGTGCCGGCCCCAGGTTATTTAGCGCCTTAGGCAAAACTTATTAAAACGACGCCCCCCCCCCCCTCCCCTACTCCAAGTAAATTTTATCGGGCTCCCATTTTATTTAAATATAAATACATATTTTTCATACTACAAATTATTTGTTTTTTCATCTGTATGCGATAGTTACTGTAAAACAATCACTGCTGCAGTTTATTCGTTTTTTGTTTTCATAAAACCACTAGTCGATCAATGTGCAAAAAAATGTATTTTTTTGTCGGATTTAGCTTCCCCTCTGGCGGTATAGTAGTTCCAACCCTGTAATTAAATTCAATGTTCCAAAACTGCGCTCTCCACAAGCCATAGTATCCTCAAGGAAACAACAATATTTGGTACACAATCTTCCATTTTTGGTGTACTATATAGAGAAGCACATCTGATGATTAGGTAGGTAATTCTTGACGCTCATTGCAAAGATCATCCGCATAATATAGGCCTCTTTATTAGCATTATCGACGTTTCTACTTGTTTGCAGTCATTAAGTCAATCCGCTGGTATTTTTTGTTGATAAGGGATATATTTCTCCCAAAGACTGAATGCGTATACTCAAGACAGCGTAGCGCCGGCTCTGTACTTAATGAAAATGCAGAAATGATTGCGTCAGAAAAAAGTAGTCCGAAATGTCATGCGTAAAGTGTGAGTGATCTTCCCTAAACTTTCTTAAAAACTCTTATGTAACAGTATGGGGGTGGCACTTGCAGTGCAATAGGGCTTTCCTTATATAGGCTGGAACCGCTCGCTGTTTTTTTTTTTTTAAATTATTTTAAGGAAACACAAGAAGAACAAATTTCTTACAACAATATTACGTACCTCTACCGCTAGTATAGAAAACGCAATACCCGAATTCGTTTTGGATGGTCACAGACTGATGACTTACGAAACTAAAAGATTACCAGACAACAAACTCTCCGTGGACTCGAATATAATGTCTAGTGTAAAACCCCACACGAAGACCTTCTGCAACTAATAATATTTTAAATCAATCTACAACCTTCTAATATGTATACTAGTCTAAATAATAAATAGATATGTAAAATCAAGAGAAATATACAAATAATGAAAGGCCCAACTTACGAGTTTAAGAATAACACACTGAAACTACTAACACTGGATAAGGCACCTAAGTAATCAGCACAACCTACACGTTATTAAAATGAGACACAGAAAAACACTGAATACACTGGTTCTTAGAGTTAATTGCTGCTTAAACTAGAAAATACAACATGGCGTCGTACGTGGCTCTCTCTCACCGTAACTGTCTAGTGGGCTTCTGTGCGAGGACAATTCCTGCCTTATATAAGACTCCGAAATTATGGGATGTCGACCTCAATGTCAGGGACCATTGGGAGGAAGTAGCCAAAGCACGAACCAAACGAACTCAGTGGTGAATACAATCACATGAGCGTGATGGAAAATGTCTTTAGTTTGAACAACAAACCACTCAAGGCCAATTAAATAATCATCAAATCAAACAATTAAAAAAAGAAGACCTAAGTAGGTCACAACAAGGTTGATGAGAATATGATATGTATCGAAGTCGAAGGTGTAAGATAAATCAGAAAAGAGGCAAAATACCAATTATACTTTTTTTGCTTCAATATACACACTTTAAAAATTAATTAAATATAACAAGACTACCTAGTTTCCAGTTGGATACGGAGTGTTGGCTGCATTGCAAAACACAAACTAATGTAACATTACGCACATCGGGACCCTCTATATATCCTTATTGAAGCCCTGTTTTTAGACCAGAAGACCAACCCAATCCCTAAGGCCATCTATTTATGATCTCCATATAAATATAAAAAATAACAAAATAAAAAATTAAATAACTTACTAAATAAATTACTAACTAATTATATAACTAACTATATATATATATATATATATATATATATATATATATATATATGAGTGTGTGTGTGAAATTTCGTCCACTAAATGAAAAAGATATTACGTTACCAGTATTTTAGAAAAACTAGAATATAGTAACACTTCCAGTTTTCGTAGGTCACTCGCAAATTGAAAGTAAACCAGGTAAAGGATCTTGTATATCACATTTAATCCACATAACGGGAAAGTATTCAAGGAAATAGAGAAACCTGTACATACACAGTTATACTTAAATGTAAAACTTCTTTTTACCAATTTTAGCGGTACTCAAGTTATCGGCTTTTAAGAAATCGGAGGAAGAGTAAGTACCACTTCAGGTTACCGGAAATCACTAAAAAGTTGTAACATGAAAGCTACAAGTTTGATAAAACATTTTAAATGTAACATTTCGTCAACATAGCTGAAAAGCTAGAATAAACGGTACAATCTACATCATTTGTCGCGGATGAGGTTCTTCAAGGGTAAGAAGAAGGTGTCAGTTAGGATGAAGAAATATTACATAGGTGGGGTGGTTATAGTGGGAAATGATTACTGTTGCGCCGTGCAGCCGAGAGAAAATTTTACAACTGTAATCTTGGTCGCCTAGTGTTTTATTAAACTTTTTACTTTTGAATATATTATCCGTGTAATATAATGATTGGTTGCATCTGCGAACAAGATTCTAAAATTGTAAAATGTAAAATCGAATACAATGTTTCACTCGTTATTTAATATCTAAATCTCGATGTTAACACGTCTTTTACAAAGGCCGCGAACTAATACATTCTATTTAAACTTTATATTTGAAACTTAAAGTTTCACTCTTTTTTAATAATCAATATTAATTGTACAAACACCAGAAGATTCTGAAAACAGTTTTATTTGTGTCATTGTAAAATATTAACTATATGCTTTCTTAATTTGAATGATCGCCGAACGAGGCAGCCTATCCGCCTTATCCGACTGGGAACTCACACAAAGCATGGACTTTTTGTCTAGCCTCGAGATCCAGGTAGCAATTGTAGACCGTCATCTCCCAGTCGTAGAAAGATTCCAGGTAGACACAGTTGAAGTCGGTGCTGTTGGTAGGCTCACCTGTAGCCCACCTGAAGAAATGAGCCGGGGTGTTGGTGTGTCTGAACTTGTACACACCCTCCTGGATCTCATCGTACGCTCCTGTGTACACGTAGTGCACGTCTCCCGTGGTAGTCAGGAAATTCTTGACGACGTTGTATTCGTGGGCGTCGTTGATTTCAACCAGATAACCGCCGAAAAGATTACACAAATTCTCAGCCCATGCGACGTTGCTGTAGTAGTATTTAGAAACGGAGTACGAGTAGTTGCCGCTGTCGTAGTTTTTACTAAACAACCAGTTAGGTCTTTCATTTCCTGCTGCATTGTTGCACGTCTCTAGTGCCTGAATCTGCTGCCGATTCGCCTTGGTGACGTCACGAGCAACATATGCCAGTGACACGTTCAACTGTGCCAGTTTGTCATTGGCCAGCGCCAAGTCTAGATCCAGCTGCCGGATCTTGTCCAGGAGCTGGTCGCTGCCCGGTCGTCTGGTGGTGACGTCAGTTTCAGCAATCAGGTAGATGTTGTGTCCAACTAAATCTGGACCTTGAGCTGTACACATGTAGTGTCCAGCCTGGGCATCTGTAGGGTGGGCCCAGTGCAGGTCCAGAAAAGAGTGACCGTTGGCTTGAATAGAGCCGCTGGCAGTTAGATCTTCTGACGTCAGCAGGTGCACCTGGTGACCTAGGAACGAGTTCAAGGACGCCAGCTCTGTATAGTTGCTGGAACCTTTGGGGGCACGCGACACGATGATAGACACAAGGGCTGACATGTTGTTCTGGCTGCTGTCACTGACGTCACATCTGACAGTCAGTGACGACAGACCCAGATCAATGACCGCAGGGTTGGCAGTCAGGTTTATTATGGTACCTGTAACACGTAGATTAACATAAAGAGATGTCATATCGTAACATTAGATACCCGTATGGTATATGATAATAAAGAAAAAGTGAGCTTTGAGGGTTTGCATACTTGGTCTTTAGAACTAATAAATTTAGCTCAAAACACGTTCTTCAACTATACTATTCATCAACTCAACAAGCAAAACGCAGTTAATAAAAATAATCCATTTATTTAAAATTCGGTTAATTAATGAAACTTCTAATACTTTTTTTAAATTATGAATTAATCAATGCATCTGTTTGTTGTATCATTATGTGCAAGTAAGGTTTAGTAAAATAAAACATACCTATAGTAGGTGTTGACAAGACACAACACAAGCTTAGAAAAATGAACAGGTTCATGTTGCAGTTGCACAAGTAAAACAATGAGTCTGTGTCCAACTTAGTGCAACTAGAGATATCAACTTATCGAAGCCAATCAATCGATTGAACTTAGAGATTACATCGGTGGTTCATTAATGATAACACTAAATGTACAGCCAAAATTTCGAAATCTATAGCTAGTATAAGTGCATTAAACTAACGTCACACGTTCACAATAGATTGTTTAAGTTGATCAAATTAATATCACACTTTCATAATCTATTGTTGGTTTAGTTAAGTGCATGTAGGTAGCATTATATGTTAACAACTATGACCACCAACTTTTTTGTACCCGAAAATAAAGTTATAATCAGGCCTACATGTCAATAATGTGGTCTTAGCTCCAGGGCCAGCGCTACCTATAAGGCGAACTAGGCGCGCTGTCCGTAGGATTGGAAAAACAAATTTAAAGTTTGAAGGGGGGCGGTACAAATCGAAAGTTTGTCCCCAGGTGCCGGGAAGGGTCGCTACGCCTCTGATAATACGTGGGCACGGAAAATATTGCGGGGGTGGGGGGCGCTTTATATAACTGATCACTAGTGTAGTGAGTAAAATCAGGGAAACACAACAAAACAAAACAACTTGAAACAGTTTTGAAACTAAAACCAACAACAGCCAAACAACTACAACAAGACAGCACAAGGATGTGTTGAGAAAATAAATGTCTTTGTGAAACTTGTGTATTTTTAGACATGTGCAAGTTTTTTTTTTCAATCCAGTATTAATATATTATTAAAGAATCATTCAAAATCAATAGTTAAATATCTATAGTATAATTGTTTAATTCTTTTTAGAAGTAGAAATTAATAAATAAATACATAAGCAAAAAATAACTAAATATATATATATATATATATATATATATATATATATATATATATATATATATATATATAACAGTCTATGACAGTTTAGCATGCCTGTTTGAACCTTTGAACTAAGATAACTTTGAATGTTTCAGACACCTTTAGAGTATTTAATCTTGGATATAAGCAAATTTCCTATGTAAAGTTACATGTATTTACGTAAACCGTAATAGCTTATAGAAATCGTTGCTGTAGCTGATCAATGTTTTGTATTGCATTGTTCTACTGGTGCATCACATCTTGACCATTGACGAGCTGGTCATTTAACTCTGAGGTTTTGCCAGCCACGTCATCTAGTTCTTGACCAGTTTGCCCCGGGTCAATAATGTCTCCGTTTACACAGGGTTTCGACAAGAATGTGTTTAGGGTTGAACAGACCTCTAGCTTGGTGATGTCATCTGTTAGGCCTGGAATGGCATAAAAATGTATATATATATATATATCCATCTCTCTCTCTCTCTCTCTCTCTCTTGATATATATATATATATATATATATATATATATATATATATATATATATATATATATTTATATATATAGGCTATATTATATATATATATATATATATATATATATATATATATATATATATATATACATCTTTACCCTTTTATTAATCATTCCTTTTGTAATTATATTGAATTTTCCACGTAGGCAGTTAACAGTGGTGTACTTGCTATAAATTTGAGGGCTTAGACTAATTATTATTAAGCAAACGTACATGTTATACAATATATTGTTATCGTTGTTTATTAACAAATGATATTACCTCCTTCCCCGTTAGATATCTTTACTGCTATGTTTTCCAAACGGATGGGGCTGTAGACATTCATTTCTGTGGTTACCTTAGGCCTTGAGTTAGGCGCCGTATTGTTGTAGATAAACTCATCGTCTCTTTGTTGTAATAATAGTTAATGTTTAAAATACCAAACTAGTTATTAGTCAAATATAAACAATAAAATCAATCAAATAAAATACTTGCATCATTACAATAAGATAAATTATCGATTTAAAATATTACATAACTCTACACAATTATTAAATAAATCATGGTAATAATATTGTTAATTAAATTAACTTACACTTTATCTAGTTTTGTTCTTTGTGTTCTAAATATGCACAAAATTATGATGGCAGTTAATGAAAGCAATGTGACACCCAGAGCCAAGTAGTGATAGAATCCAAAGGTCAACCATGAGTAGTGCTCTTCCTCTGTAATACAGTATCACATCCATATTAAGATTGTAGTGCAAGTTATATAGACTATTCTGAAGTTAATATTTGACATTAAGGTATATTTTAATCTGTCCATTTGTTATCCATTTAGTGACTTAATAGTTGATCTGTATGAAGTATACTACTTCTTTATTAAAAACACAGCCACAAACATGATAATGAATATAAACAGAACTGCTGCAGGTAGATCACAATATTTGTCTTGACTGAGTTTCTAAATCATGTCTAATGCTACGAGAAAAAAAAGGTGAAACTAAATTGGTTGTAGCAAGTCTATAATAGTTTTCAGATATCTTCCAATACAACGTGTATAAATTATCTTACTTGCACTGCACAGAGAGGATGTGCTGTTATAAGATTCGAACTTTGTGCAGCCACATTTACCACCGATGCAGGTCAGGGTGGCTTGGCATTCGTCGCTAGAAGTACAGTTCTCTTCTTTAAGACTCCCTGAGTATAGAAATATAAGTTCATTAGAGGACAGCCTAGCTTTAACAGAGTTGTTGATTTGTCCAAGTGTGCAACTTAGGTGACAAGATATCAGTTAAATAATTTGAGCTAGTGCTCTCGTGTGTGTTTGTGTGTGTGTGTGTGTAATGTCGACAAGAACAGATACAAATATTATAAATGTATCCCACTGAAATGCCAGTAAATAGTGGTACGTTTGTGTAGATAATAAAATATCTTTATGATCTTTTGATGGAATTTAGACTTTTTTTAGCCTTCTTGAATGTGATAAAAATAAACTCACGTTCAATGCACGAGCTAGTGAGGTTGTCAAAAAACTCAGTGTTTAAACACACACAAAGGTCACGGACACAAGTCAGACTTATCTGGCATTGGTCTGTGACTGTACACCAGTCGTCTCTACGCTGCTCTTATCAAGGATCAAACAAAGGCAATTTTTGTTTATTTTCATCAACCTCTTCATCTCACTTAGACAATCAGGTTCAATTGGATCACAAAATAAAATAAAAATATGTAACGTTAAAGGTTTACTAGAAAAAAATATTTATAGATGTCAGTATTAACTTACTGGCCTGACACAGCTCTGTGGACGTGTTGTAAAACTGTGTTGTCATACAGCGACACATTCCCTCCATACAGGTCAGGTTTTCTTTACACTGGTCACTAGAGGTACATCTCTCTGTCATCTGGAGCTCTGTAACATGACATATAGATGACATATAGATCAATGTTCACTAGATGTACATCTCTCTGTCACCTGAAGCTCTGTAACATGACATATAGATTAATTAGCCATCAATTAGAAGGTTATGTTTTCATTTGTATATGCTTTGAATAATTTTACTGCAAAGATAGGCCTACACCTTAAATTTGGACACATTAAAATTTAAATGTTATCAAACACTGACTTTCCAGTGCAAAGATAGGCCTACACGTTAAATTTGGACACACTAAAATTTAAATGTTATCAAACACTGACTTTCCTGGCACCGATTTGCCGTGGTGTTGTAGAACAGGTTGTCTGTACAGGTACATGTTCCAGCCATACAGGTGAGGGTCTCCTGACATTGGCTGGTGGCTGTACACGGGCTGGCCTTGGGTAACCCTGACATGGATGTAAGGGTTGGTCAACAAATGACGTCAAGCATTGTATGGGTTGGTCAACAAAGACGTCAAGCAATATTAGCCAATCTATCTCACACTAGTCCAGCCGGTAAAGTGACGTCACAGAATCATCCATACCTCACTTAAATGACGTCTTCTTATCTCTCCTACGCACAATACTCACACATAATACTTGTTCATTTTACAGTAACTACTCCATCAATTTACATTCACACCAGAGATTCTTCCAGGCAACTCTTCGGGGGGGGGGGGGCAAAGCCACCCCGATAAATTTTTACCCTCCCCCCCCCCCCGAACATAATGAATTTTATATAATTTATATAGAAAATATATACTTTTAACAGTGCCCCCCCCCCCCCCCCGGAAGAAAGTCTACCGCCCCCCCCCCGAAACTTTCAAGTGCCCCCCCACCCCCCACCCGGAGAAAAAAGTCTGGAAGAAACACTGATTCACACCAAATTTCACGTAACTCAAGTTTCCCAAAGTCACCTTAAGTTTTTGATAAACCATTTACATTTTGCATTGTCGTTAAGTTTTCCATTTCATAGACAAATCACATTTTCATTTGTCACATTAAGGTTTTCATAGTCCATCAAAGTTGACCACATTTAAAGTAAAAACATACTTGCAGTGCAGGAGCTTGTAACAGAGTGAAAGAACTCTGACGTCATGCAATCACATGATCCAGTTAAACAGGAGAGACTACTCTTGCATTCACCAGTCTCCATGCATTCGTCTCCTTTTGATTTCCCTTTAATATTTCAGAAAAACACATTGCATTAAAAAATTCAAGCACAAGGCATATATATATATATATATATATATATATATATATATATATATATATATATATATATATATATATATATATATATATATATAGCTAATAAAGCATATAACATAAAATAGATATTTTTTAAAGTAAAACAATTGGCCTACTGATTCTGCAGTGAGAGGAGTTAAAATATTCCCCGTCTGTACACTGACATTGTTGATCCAGACACGTGAGAGATTCCTGACAATGTAGTGTCTGGTTACACATATGGTGCCGGGATAATCCTACAAATTATACAGGTGATATTGTTTAGATTTGCTATTGTATAACACAAATTATACAGGTGATATTCATTAGATTTGCATTGGTATAACAACTATGCCCGAATGACATGCCTTACACATTATGGTGTAAACATTCAATCTGAACATTAATGCGCGTGTTATTTTGTTAACGTATTTTTTCCCGTTCATATTACTGCGGTATTTCATACATATTAAAATACGTGACCAAGATATGTTACTTAGTACACATGCAGCAGTTGTTGGATGAAGAAACTCTGAATCTAAACAGTTGCATTTCCCATTTGTGCAGCTGAGGCTATGCTTGCACTCTGAAGTATCAAAGCAGTTTTCACCAATAGACCGTCCTTTAATGTGTAGAAAAAAAAGGAAACTATGTCAAAGCAGTTTTCTTTTTTTAGAATTAACGTGGAGAAATAAGAGCATATTATACATCAAAACCGATTTTTTACAAGATTATTTAACCGACATTATTGAAAGCTAAAATGTATCGACCAACACACATTCATTCAACTTTTAAAGGTATTTACAACATACTCAAATACTGTAGCACTAATTCAGGTTTTAAATATGGGTTTTTTAAAAAAAAAAATCAAATTATAAAAAAAATATGAATGTACCATAAAACACCAACAGTGAAAGGAAGAGTTTAGTTAAACACGTTGAACTTACGAAGTGTACAGCTGCTTGATAAATGGTCATAATACTCCTCACTCTTGCACGTGCACTGGTCATTTAGACAGGTCAGTGTGTCTTTACACTGGTGTGTCTCAAGACAGGTCTCATGGTGACCCAATCCTGAGAAAACAGAAGCAGGCATTATTTATGAATAAGCATTACTTAAAGGTGACACATTAATGTATCTTTAAAAAAAACTACACTATACTGTACAACCTACTTGATGTGCAAGTGGTGGTCGTATTATTAAAATATTCGGACTGAGTACAGTCGCATCTACCACTGATGCAAGTTAGACTACTCTTACATTCCTCTGTGTCTGAGCAATCTTCTTGTCGCGATAATCCTACATGAAATACAATTTTGTAAACAGTTAACACGACAAACAAAAAATATTTCACAGTAGCATGAATTGTACTGGCGAATATATATTTATCAATTTTAAAACATGCATCGCCACTTACTTGATCTACAGACACCAAATGTGGTGTTGTAAAACTCATCCTCTGTACACCGACACATCAGACCCAAACAAGAGAGGGTGTCCTGACATTGTAGAGTCTCATCACATGACTGGTGCCGGGATAATCCTGAAGAAACAAATACTCTGTGCAATCTATCGATGAATTAGCTTTGCAAACAACGCAGCTTTAAAGTTGAAAAACACAACTCTACCAAATATTTGATATACTGCGTATCTTACTTTGGGTGCATGTGTTGGTCGTATCATTAAAAAACTCAGATTGAAGACAATTACACTCTCCTTGAAGGCAGGTGAGACTACTCTTGCATTCTTCCGTGTTTGAACAATTGTCTTCTCTTGATAATCCTTCAGACGTTAAAATGTTGTTAACATTTTATGACCAAAACAATCTGTTCATATTGAACTTTTAGCGCGCTATAAATTCTTCAAGAAAATATTTCTTTGCTTCTAAATTGAAAACAAACATTTACAGAACAGATTTTCTAAACACCTTGTATACGACTATGGTTGTAGACATAAGTTTAACCACCATGCGTTAAATAAAAAAACAACACATTTACTTGAGTTGCAGACATCATATCTTCTGTTGTAAAACTCATCCTCTGTACACTGACACATCTGACCCAAACAAGAGAGGGTGTCCTGACATTGTAGTGTCTCATCACATGACTGGTGCCGGGATAATCCTAAACAAGCAAAAGCATTTGCATCATATCTATGACAAAGCAGTTTTAAATATTTTAATACAACCTTATTTAACTAGTAATTACTATACTGTAAAACCCACTTTGTGTGCATGTGTTGGTCGTGTGGTTGAAAAACTCGGACTGTAGACAGTCACAACTTCCATTGATGCAAGTTAGACTACTCTTACATTCAAGTGTGTCTGAGCAGTTGTCTTCTCTTGATAATCCTTTGAATTTTATGTTAATATTTTATGACAACAAATAATCTATGTATATAGATTTTTAGCTCGCTATAAATGCTGAGACTATTTTTATCCAAACCGTTTTTAAAATGACACTTACTTAAGGTGCAGACACCATTTTTACTGAAAAACTCATCGTCTGTACATTGGCACATCTGTTTCAAACACGAAAGAGATTCCTGACATTGTAGTGTCTCATCACATGACTGGTGCCGGGATAATCCTGAAACAAACGTGTTGCATACGTCTTTAGCTTAAGTAATTTCAATTGAAACCCAAAACTACTCAGTCTCCAGCTGCCTTGTGATGTCTTCTTTTTTCTTAAATGCCAGCGATCCCCTCAGTTGCCAACTTTCATGTGATTTTTATAACATCTGACCCATCTGGTCCGAAATGGTATTTTGTTTTACACAATTATAATAACAGTCTCAACCTTATGTATCAGGTATAGATAGGTTTTTTTTTTCTGTTACAATGATTGCCCATCTCTACTACTAATCGATGTACTGTAAAACCTACTTTGTGTGCACATCTTGCTCGTGTGGTTGAAAAACTCGATCTGCAGGCACTCACATTTGCCACTGATGCACGTTAGACTACTCTGACATTCCTGTGTCTCTGAGCAGTTGTCTCCTCGCGATAATTCTGAGTGAATTTCAGGAATAATTAAAATTTAATTTTAAAATAAAATTATGAGATTTCTTTGGACTTTCACAAACAAATATAACAAACAACCACTTACTGGATCTACAGACACCAAATGTGGCGTCGTAAAATTCATCCTCTGTACACCGACACATCTGACCCAAACAAGAGAGGGTTTCCTGACATTGTAGTGTCTCGTAACATGACTTGTGCCGGGATAATCCTGATCAAATCAAATGAACCAGAAGTATATTTCTGATTTAGGTCTACAATATACTGATTGCGTGCGTTTTACAGTCTGATTTCTGTACTACTCAATATAGCGTACTGTAAAACCTACTTTGTGTGCACTCCCTGAGTGTGTTGTTAAAAAACTCGGACTGAAGACAGCCACACATTCCGTTAATGCAAGTTAGACTACTCTTACATTCCAGTGTATCTGAACAGTTGCCCTCTTTTGATAATCCTTAGTAAATTTAAATTTGTATTGAACATTATCACAATATTTTATAGAGATTGTTCTTGTTATATTTGTGTTAATTGATCACTCAGCAACAAAAAGTCACTTACTTTGGTTGCAGACACCGAGTTTACTGTTGTAAAACTCATGCTCTATACACTGACAGAGTTGGCTTACACAAGAGAGGGTATCTTTACACTGTAGTGTCTCATTACACGACCGGTGCCGGGCTAATCCTGAAGACATAAATCCCATTTTTATCCTAACTATAACTTTTAATAGACTGACGTTTGAAAGTTTCAAAATTTAACTTTATTTATTTTTATGTGATAGATCTATATTGTCACACCCACTTTGTGCGCATGTGTTGGTCATGTGGTTGAAAAACTCGTACTGTAGACAGTCACAACTTCCATTGATACAAGTTAGACTACTCTTACATTCAAGTGTTTCTGAGCAGTTGTCTTCTCTTGATAACCCTACAGGAATTTACATTTTGTTAACATTTTACAACAAACTAATATTTTCATAGAGAACGTTTCACACTTTTCGAACCCGGCATAAAAATAAAAACAGAATGATACGTACTTAAGTTGCAGACACCGTGTCGACTGTGGTAAAACTGATCGTTAGAGCAGCGACACATCTGACCCAAACACGAGAAAGTTTCCTGACACTGTAGTGTCTCGTCACACGGCTGGTACTGGTCTAAACCTGGGTGGAGTTAGACAACTGACTTCAGCAACATGTTGTTAATTCAGTTCATACATCTTGTGGTATACACTTTACAAGGTGGAGACTAATTCTGATAATCTCATTGCAGATATCACATATAAGAAAAATGGAAAACTACGAATAAAATAGCAAGGTTTATATAATAACCTAAATTTCGGGTTGTAAAGCACCAATCAAATAAAGTGCAACATTAATTATGAATCAAAATACTTACGAGTCGTGCACAGATGTGAAGTATGGTTAAAAAACTCTGTCAACAGACATGCACATTTGCCGCCTAGACACGACAGACTACTCTTACACTCCTGAGTGTTGGCGCAGTTATCTCCCATAGGTAGTCCTACGGACACAGTAAAACAAAACCAGTGACTAAATGTCTTCTAGATTCTAGAACAAACATTAAAAATTAAAATATCTACCAATCGTTATTTTAAAAACATAACCTGCTTAAAACACACACAGTTGTACTCGAACTGAAATATTCTCCATTATATATGAACATAGCCCATTTAGAGACACGACAAGGTATCCGTACATTTTTGAGAATCAATACAAAAATGGAATCGTTCGAATCCTGTTGTTATAATTATTTTTAAAAACAATATGTATCGTCATATATAAACGGGATTAAAATAAAAATACTAAATTATTTTTAAAAATATGTATGTGCATTACATTTTCGACTGCGCCCTAAATTAAATTAACTTGTTGAGCAGTAGGACGATGTGTTGTTAGAGAACTCTGACAACCCACATTTACACAACACATCACACATACAAGAGAGACTACTCTTACATTCCGAAGTACTTGAGCATTTATCTCCCTTGGGTAAACATTCATAAGTGAAAAATTTTATTGTATTGTATGCGCAATGTTCTATAACTGTTTAAAGAAGAAACACACAGTTGTATTCGCGCTGAAAAATTCGCAACTAGTAAATAAACATAGCCCATTTAGACACGACAAGGTATCTGTACAATTTGGAAATTCGATACAAGAATGGAATTGTTCGGATTAAGTATTCAAAAAAGAAAAAAATAACCATATAAATTAATAATTAACATTGTAGTTGAAGCAATCAGACGAATTTAAAACTTCGATTGAAACAAAGTAAATACGAAAAAAAAAAGAAAATTATATCAAAACAATTAAACACGCATTCAAAACAGACTATTTTCATTTTGTTAATGTTACAAATTTGCGAACTATTTTAACATTTAAATATAGAAGAACAAAACTGCATCAATTTCCTTTTGCTTTGTTAAGGCCCCGTGTTACATTAAATTTGTATTTTAACAACCAGCTTTGTCTTTTTCCCTCTAGAGTTTTTTAATCTATGAATTAACACAATGAGCCTGTTGAGCGAAGTAACAAAACATTAATTAATGAATGTAAATATTACGTAAAGTGCACCGAGCCGAGGTTGTGTTAAAGTATTCCACATGTGTACACTGGCACCTTTGTTGGAAACACGAGAGAGATTCCTGACATTGTAGTGTGTCATTACACGGCGCTTGCCTGTGTAGTCCTGTGATATAGTATATAGGAGCGTATATATATATATATATATATATATATATATATATATATATATATATATATATATATATATATATATATATATATATATGCTAATATGTTTAAAAACTATTTATATAATGAGGCATTGCTTCGTTTGTGTTTATGTTTTTTAACTCTATTTAGCTGTTTGTATTTTTTTAATGCAACTACAAGACACAAGTTAATAAAAAACATATTGAATCTTTACATGCTTTATGTATGAGAGTGTGAGATGAGTCTTTCACAATACGATGTGTAAATGTCGAGCTGACTTAATTAAAATTGTTGTACAGCATGATGGTATACCCTACATCAAGAATTGTGCCTGCCTTTTTAAGCCTAGACATATTCAATGCAAATGTATAACAAAATACTTCTATTTAATTGAATGTTAAATGCTATACACTGTTGACAATAGAATAACTTACTTGCTGAGCAGTTATAGGTGGTTTGGTTGTAGAACTCTGATTGTCTGCATGTACACACGCCACTGATACAAGAAAGACTACTCTTACATTTATCTGTACTAGAGCAGTTACTTCCCTTCGACAGCCCTTGTAATTAAAAAATGGATACATTGGCTGCGTATTTGTAACGTGTTGATCCAACCATATTTTACCGTACACCATTTTATTCACAATGTAACTGGTCAACCAGTGTCTGTACTAAGGTATACAATGGACCATCCGCTGTCTAAACTTACTTGGAACACATAGGGCAGGCACGTGGTCATAGAACTGGTCACCAGAACAATCACAGCGTTGACCCAGACAAGACAAGGTGTTTTTACATTGGGTCGTGTCGTTACATTGAGAGAGACGGTCTAATCCTGAGATGGTAAATATGTTCTTACTTTACGTGTTAATACTTACAATCAATCAATGCTAACACCAAACGTTCTAAAATAAAATTTAAGAGTTACGTCATGTATTTTGAATTTAAATGACTTGTATAATTAAAATGTGAAATAAATATTTGGACAACATACGTGTCGTGCAAATATTACTCAGATTGTTAAAATATTCTGATTGTGTGCAGTTACAAACTACATTTAAACAAGAGAGACAACTGTTACATTCAACTGTATTTGTGCAGTTTCTTCCCATGGGTACTCCTGGTTGAGTATAATTTTCAGAAAATGATAAACTATTGGATGGTTAGAATATCATAGCCTGTTTTCACTTTTATTGCCTGGACATTAACTTGTTGTTTATATTGTCTTGTGACCTACTTAGGTCTTCTTTTTTAATAGTTTAATAAATGGCCTTGTGCTATCTGTTGTTTAAACTAAGAAATTCTCCACCAGACTCATGTGAAAGTATTCACAACTGTGTTCGTGTTACTCGTGTTTTGGCTCCATCCCCCAATGGTCCTTGGCATTGATTTTCAACATCCCATAATTTTAGGGTAATATAAAAAGGAGGAATTTTCCAAACACGAGGCGCACAAGACACCCAGAGAGAACCTTCGGCACATAGCATCCATGTTAGTTAGGCCGTAATTAACTTATATTCCAATAGTACTCAGTATTTGATTTTTCACAATAAAGGTTGTGTTAGTTATATATTTTATCCAGTGTTAATTGTAGAAAGAAGTGTTTGTGATTTCCATGAAATTGTAAGTTGGGTTTTAAATTATTGTATAGTTTTTGGATTGTATTTTAATTTTTTAGACTTGTTTACTTTTTAGAAGGTTTTTAGATTGATTAAAAGTTCTACTATTTTCAGAAGATCTTTGTATTGATATTTCACCCTAATCGTTAGATTTCGAGTCTACAAAGAGTTTTTGTTTCTAGTAATCTTTAATAGTTTCGAATAGTTCATCAGTCTAAAACCATCTCAAAAGAATCCGGGTGTTGCATAATATTTATCAGTGATAGAGTTACGTAACAGTCGGAAATGTGTAGCTAATTATCTTTAATTTCAACGAATAAAATTATTAGTTAAATTAATTAACATTAACTTACGAACCATTAAACAAATCATTTTAATTAAAACTTAAAATGTACAACCTCTGTCCTTAATTTCATGCATGATTATGTTTACATAAGTAAAGGTTATCTGTAGACCTAGCAATCCATTACGCAGATGAAGTAATTTCACATACACAAAAAGTCCTCTAATTGTAAATAGTGTAATCTCAAGCGCTAGGTGTGTGTAAAATGTCTTGAAGACTTACGTGGCATACATATTTGTGTAGAGACGGTATAGAACTCAGTGCTACCACACGCACACTTCCCAGCGATACAGCTCAGACTGCGCTTGCACTGCTCATTTTTTGTACAGCTTTCAGATCTAGAGAGTGCTACGAAATGGGATAATTTTCTCTAATTGAAATTTGTTTCGAAAATGTCAGATAAATAATTAAGCAAATATTTACCTTATTATAGATACACCAAGCAGACAAATGGACGAGAAGATATAGATATATCAACTTTACGTATTCATGTTATAAATTATGTTTTCGACTACTTCCTTTTCTATAACCACATTTTTTTTCTACTTGTACATGCTACAGTAAGGTGATTAAAAACTTAATTTAAATTATTACTTACTGACGCTAAGAATATATTCTAGATACAGATTATAAAATATGTAGGCCTACCGTTTAAAATAAAAAATTCCCCTTTGAATCCACGATAAACTACGCTACTATCTGTACGGAAATATATGTAGAGGTAGTTGTTGGTAGAGTTCCACTCAAAAGAGGACTCCTGACAAAACAGTCCAGAAGATTTCTCTCTGTTCGCTCCTTCGATGAACTGGATGGAATCATACCCACAGCTGGTGTGTTTTTCTAGCAGCATGTCGGTGATCCTGTTGGTGCGGGTAAGAATTTACTGTTTATAAATGGTGTTTTAGATTCACTAAGTTCTATTTTATTTGAAACTAGCGTACCCGTCTCCGCGCGTTGCCGCGGTCTCAAAAGAAAGTCTGAGGATTGCCCGGGGCATAAATTCTCTGCCGGGGCGCCGGTGAATGCGCATGGTTCAATTTATTGAACGACTATAACGCCCCATCTTATTTATAGTCTATCATGGGACAAACCGGGGCGTACAATTACACCCTGCCGCTGTGCCGCCCGTGCAAAACTGAAATTTTGTTTACCCAGAAACCTCCACAGGAGAATTTTCAACACTTCTCAAAGTTTCATGGCGATTGGATAAAAGGTGTAGTAATGCATAAAAGTCTGACGAAATATAATATGAGGGTGTCAGCAACGCTTTGTCAATCCTATATTTTTAGACGCGTGACCGGGTTTTCTAAAACTGTGTTTATTTAAATGTAAACAATGCCTGCGCTTGGCTCGTACTTATTGGGTCACGGGTTTACCTACACTACCGCCATCACGCCATAGAGCGTGCTGTGTGAAAGCCTTAAGTGTACGTTAATCACTCACCGTAATATCACCGTTAATTACTCATCGACTAAGTTTCGGGAACGTAGAGGGACGCTCTAGTGAGTCTCCGATTACACCACCACAGGGGCGCCGCGTGCGGCCCCTGGCTTGGTTTAATCATCGGATGTCGTGTGCCGCCTTGTTAATAGTGTAGGGTGCTCTTTAAAAAAAGTAGGCGCCATATGCTCACTTGATAGCGCAAGGTGCCAAATCGCCTTATTATGTTTAGTGAAAGACTCTAAAACCGAATCATATGCATAGTCTGTCGCACTGTTTAAAATGAATATTGGCGATAAAGTGCTCACGGGATAGCCCGGGACACCATATTGCACCCTGCCGGGGTGCCGGCGAATGCGCCTGATTCAATATAGTGAGGGACTAAACGCTCCATCTTATCCATTGTCTATCTCATAGTTTAGAACGAACGTAGGCGTCACTGCACTTGTGGGAAAGCCTACAGTGCCAAAACGCACTCTGCGCCGGAGGATGTCCCAGATTTGATATAGTTAACGATTATTGTTGCCCATCGTGTCTTTAGTGTAAAGTCTTTTTTTTAAACGAACGTAGGCGCTTTAGTGCTCACAGGGGAGCCCGGGGCGCTTTGGGTAACGCAATAGCCGGTGCGCCGGCGACTGCACCTGTTGAAGTTTTAACGCTGAATATAGTAGTAAATTTTACCCGATATACAGGACCCCCGATTAACGGATACCAAGGGCTAAGATAGCCGCTCTGGAACTATGGGTGCCAAACCGTGTATTGACAAAATTGCACCCTCCCGGGCGCCGCCCATAAGAATTATTTTTTTCTAGCAGAAACCTTCTCGAGAGTATTCTCATGAACTCAACAAAGCTTCATGGCAGTTGGATGAACGGTGTTGATCCGAATCTGACTTTTATTTTTTATATAAAAAGCTCCACTTGAGTATTCTAATCAACTCCCGAAAGTTTCATGATGATACAATTAATGGTGTCAAAACACAATCGAATTTTATTTTTATATACCGAATATAGAAAATAATCAGCAACCTCAGCTAGAGTATTCTCAACAACTTCCCAAAGTTTCATGGCGATTGGATGAAAGGTGTAGTAATGCATAATAGACAGACAAACAGACAAACACACACACACACTCACATTGCCTTTTTATATAATTTAATATATAAGTGTAATGTCTACACAGCTGACCTTAATTATAAGTTCCAGCTGAATGTAGGACTGTGAACTGTGTTAAATTTAATATTTTATTTCATTTTATTTGCGTATTCTAAAGTATAAGTTCACAAGAGAAACCAAAGTACGTTAATTACGCAACATATTTCTCCACAATAATTAATGCTTATTTTAAAATAAATCAACGGTCTGATAAGGTGCTTATAAGTGCTGTATAAATTATGAAAAAAGATGCACTATTCTTAATTACATAGTAATTTAACCAATACATGTGTCTCCGAGTTCACCAGTCTGTGCATATAGTGTAGGTTATTTTTACTTGAACTTGAATGTAAATACTATATTTCAAACGCTTCAATGACAATATCGTAAACGAATGAGAGTGGTTATAAGTATTAGAGGCATTATTTTAATAAGACTGTTAAATAACCAGAAGTTTACCTGACCGAAATGAATGAATCAGCTGGTCCTTGAATTGTCCATCCACAGCCCTCATAGTTGCTGTAATCACTGGGATAACCAGGGCTTCTGATGTGTCCATGAACAGCTCTAATTACACCTCCAGAACCACACTCTATACAAACACATATACCTATCTCTGTGTCTCTCTCTATTTCTCTCTCTCTTTCTCTCTTTCTCTCTCTCAGTCTCTCTCTCTCTCTCTCTCTCTCTCTCTCTCTCTCTCTCTCTCTCTCTATATATATATATATATATATATATATATATATATATATATATATATATATATAATGAGAGACACAGAGAGAGAGAGGGAGGGAGAGAGAGATAGTTATATGAGTGTATACATACATACATATATATATATATATATATATATATATATATATATATATATATATATATATATATATATGAATATACATATATATAACACAACATTGTGCATTTGTTGAATTGAAACTACGTTCGTCTTATAAAATTAGTGTTAGTTTACCAATATAAGACTGTGGCTCTACAAAAGCAAA